GCCCAGGCTTGGCAGGAACGGGACTGTCAGCAGGGCAGCTTTTTATTATGACCGAAAAGATCTCATGAGTATGGTACAAAGCCACAAAAAAATATTCCAGTCAGAGTGCTGTCAGAGACTCAATTAGGAGCCATTGTGGCCGGATAGCTGTCACCTCAGCTACTTAGGAGGCTGAGATATGAGGGTCGCAGTTCAAAATCATCCTGTGTAAGAAAGCCTCTGAGACACTCTTCAGTCACCCACCAAAAAGCTGTGGCTCAAATGGTAGAGCACCAGCCTTGAGTGGAAAACCTCAGGAATAGCACCCAGGCCCTGAGTTCAAGTCCCAGTACTGGTACACACATGCATGCATGCTCTCTCTCCCTGCCCCCCCCCACACATGATGCATGATACATTCAATATTTAGCATTGTAACCATTTTTTTCCATCTGGGGCTCAAATGATAGAGCACCAACCTCCAGTGCAAAAGCTAAGGGACAGTGCCAGGCTCTGGGGTTAAGCCCCAGTGCCCTCACACACTCCAATAATAATAATAATAATAATCAACTAGAGAAAAACTGGAGGGGTAAACATGGCTCATGTGGTTGAGCAGCAACCTAGCAACTGAGTTCAAACCCAGTACTCCCTAAACCAGGAAAAGACTGGTTTTGAAAGATGGGGTTTTCTTGAATGTGTAGCCGGGGCAGAAGTCATCAGGAGGAACAGGCCTCATGAGTGTGTGTGTGTGTGTGTGTGTATGAGTGTGACTTGCAATCAGGCCTGGGCACCGTCCCTGAGCGCTTGAGCCACAGCTCCACTTGCAGGTTGTTTTCTTTCTCCCTGTGGGAGAGGTGACTTGGAGGGCCGGGCAGTGTCTCTGCGGGCCCCAGGGCTGGGGGAAGCTTGGCATCTGTGTGCTGGAAGCCGGGAGGAAGCACCGGCCGCCAGACCCCACGCCTCTGTGTGTGGCTGGCAGGAAAGGCTTCCTGGGAACGCAGGAGCCGGGGTCACCTCCAGCCAGCCAGGGCTCCCTCCACCCTCTGCTTCCTGAGCCTCTTGGTAAAGGAAAGGGTGGGAGCCGGACTGCTCCCCACCTCCCTTCCCACGGCCTCCCGTGCAGGCAGGCTGCCCGTGCACAGGCCCAGGCAGGCAGACTCAAGTCTGTGCGAGCATGTGCGCGTGCGTGTGCACACACGTGCACGCACATTGAGGGCTTGGACTCAGGGCCTCCTGCCCACCCTTGGCTTTCTTATTCAAGGCTAGCACGCTACCACTTGAGCCACAGTTCCACTTTCTGTTTCTTACTAGTTCACAGACTTTCCTGCCCAGGCTGGTTTCGAACTTGAGATGCTTAGAGCTCAGCCTCCTGCCGCAGGTGCCTGACAGGTCTTCTGTGTGAATCAGGGTCTTAAAATCTTAGGGTGTTCACACAAATCAGCCCTGTGTGCATGCTCCCTGGGTGTCTGGGGGGCTTGATTCTAGCATCTTCCATGGATGCCAAGGTGCTTGCATGTGTCAGCTGTTTCTATAAGTTATGACATTTGTATATAACTGCTCATAGTCATTACCTCACCTCTACATCAATTCATTCATTTATGTCGATCCTGGGGCTGGAACTCTGGGCCTGGGCACTGTCTCTGAGCAATTTCACTCAAGGCTGGCACTCTACCACTTGAGCCATAGCACTACTTCTGCTTTTCTAGTGATTCATTGGAGATCAGAGCCTCATGGACTGTCCTGCCTGGACTGGCCTTGAACTGTGATCCTCAGATCTCAGCCTCCTGAGTAGGATGACATGGGTGAGCCACCAGAGCCCAGCTTGTTTTATGTATTATATGTATATATATACATATAATTTTTGCACACTCCCTTGTCCCTCAGCAACGGTGCAGGGTTTTGTTTCTGGTCTGATTTCCAGGAGTTTCCCCCTTATAACCGACCGGCAGCAGGAATGGCTCACCCGCGAAGCAGAAGGAGAGTTTCACTGATGTTCTCTTTGGGATTTAGCGACTGATTAATGGCCAGTTACTGGAAAAACATTTCTAGGCGACTTAATGAGCCGAAAAGGGAATTACTTCGGATTTCCCCACGGCCTTTTCCCCTCTTCACCCCCGATGGACCCTCAGAGTGCAGGAAGTGGTCTTGTGTCCAGGCAGCTCCATTGTTCTTCTGTGTTATTTATTTTATGTTGTAAAAATGATGATGTTTGTTTTGTGTGTGTGTGGTTCTAGAAGCTTCCCAGAGCCCTGTGGTGGTTGGGAAGGTCATGGGTCATGGGCCGGGCTGGCCAGGAATGTGACTGCCATATGTAATTAATCTGAGTCCTCTTACCCTCGCTCTAACCTCCCCTTCAGTCTTGAAATGACAGTAAGCAGCGGGCTGTGTCTCCGGGTTCTGTGCAAGTAGCTCTCCTTGTGATAAGCCACAGAGATAAACACCAGTCTACTGGCTGTGTGACCCCAGACAAGCCACCTCACCTCTCTGAGCCTTGGTCTCTTGGCATGTGGACACATGGGTAGGGGTTGCCGGACACTGGGGAGAATAGGAGGATATGAAGCAGAGGCAAAGACCACCAAGCCTGGGACATCCTAAAAAACCGCCCTCTTCTTTGTCAGCTTAAAAGTAAAGCAGAAAGTCAGTTTGCTGTGGCTTGTGCCTGAGATCCTAGGTTGAGATCTGGGGATCAAAGCCAGCCTGGGTAGGAAAGTCTATGAGACTCTTATCTCCATGTCACCACCCCAAACCCAGAAGAGGTGTGGTGGCTCAAGTGGTAGAGCATCAGCCTTGAGTGGAAAAAAAACCCAGGATAGTGCCCAGCCCTCAGCCCAGGCCCCAGCACGGGCACTAAAGACATTACATAATAAAAATCAAATTAAAAAATTAAAAACTCAAATGGACCAGCAGCAAGGGAATGTCCATAATTGCTTAATAGGAACTGGAGGATGGCGGGGAGCCCAGTTCAGACAATAGGCTGTTTCCTTTCTTTTCCTTTTTGGTGCTAGTCCTACAGCTGGAACCCAGGGCCTGGGCACTGTCCCTGAGCTTTGTGCTCAAGGCTGGTGCTCTACCACTTGAGCCACAGCGCCACTTGTGGCTTTTGGTGGCTGACCGGGGAATCCAAGCCGAGCCACTCGCAGCCTCTCTCCTGGGGCTGCTTTATATAGGGTCCCTCGGCTCCTCCCTCTAATGGCATGCTCCTGGTCTGATTGGTCAAGAGGGTGGACGCGGGATGTAGGGCGTCTTCTGGTTGGTTCCCCAGGGCCTACTCTACATTGGGTCCCCTTGGCTCCTCCCTCTGAGGGCCTGCTCTTGATCTGATTGGTCAAGGGGTGGACAGACTTTTGATTGGTTCCTCCATCTCTACGCGAGGCTCCTGATTGGATGAAGGCGGGGGTGGCGGGGCCAGGCTGGTCTTGCTGAGTCAGAGCGGGCCCAGGACTGCGGTGTCCGGGCGGAGCGCAGCCTCGCGCTGCAGCGCCGTCCCAGTTGGGACCTAGGGCCGCGGTTCCTGTCACGGAGGACGACACGACCACGCCGGGCCCATGGGGGTCTGGGAGAAGCCTGAGACCTTCCTTCTGGAACAGTCTCCGGTCTGGATGGCCTGTGATTGTGGTGTGTGGTGTGGCGTGCGGTGGGTGTGTGGTGTGAGACGGGTGTGTGGTGAGTGTGTGGTGTGGTGCATGTGGTGTGTGGTGGGTGTGCTGTGTGTGTGGCGGGTGTGCTGTGTGTGTGGTGAGTGTGTGGTGTGGTGCATGTGGTGTGTGGCGGGGGTGTGGTGTGTGTGTGATGTGTTTGGTGGGTGTGTGATGTGTAGCGGGTGTGCTGTGTGTGTGACAGGTGTGTGGTGTGTGTGTGACAGGTGTGCTGTGTGGGTGACGGGTGTGTGGTGTGTGTGAGACGGGTGTGCTGTGTGTGTGGCAGGTGTGTGATGTGTGGCGGGTGTGGTGTAGTGTGTGTGGTGAGTGTGTGGTGTGGTGCATGTGGTGTGTGGTGTGTGTGTGGTGTGTGTGTGGTGTGTGTGGTGTGTGTGTGACGGGTGTGCTGTGTGTGTGGCAGGTGTGTGGTGTGTGTGTGACGGGTGTGCTGTGTGTGTGGTGTGTGTGGTGTGTGTGTGACGGGTGTGCTGTGTGTGTGACAGGTGTTGGTGTGTGTGGTGTGTGTGTGACGGGTGTGCTGTGTGTGTGACAGGTGTGTGGTGTGTGTGGTGTGTGTGTGACGGGTGTGCTGTGTGTGTGAC